AAATTATTGTGGTTTAATGCTGTATTTTACTGTCAATCAAACCGTTTCTAAAATTTTATAAAACTGAAATTTAGTTTAAATCTAACAAAAAATAAAATTCAATAAATAGTCTAATGGAATGATGATATTTGTGATGTCTAGATTAAGGTTTTCGACTTCAAATATTTTATTATAAAAATGTATGACTATCTAAATTGTTTAATCTTTTCTTTTTTCTTCGAATAAATTCGTATAGTAGTTAAAAAACTATGTCCAAAATACATAGAACATTGATCAAAATCGAATAAATTTGTACGATATTTCAAAAAACTACATCTAAAATCCATAGAACAGTGATCAAAAGATCTCAAAACTATTTAAACTAAATTATTTGGATACTAATATGTTTTTATCTATTATCTTCTACACTTTTTTCACGATCATGTATTCAAACATTAAGATGCAAAAAAATCTAACAAACAAATATACTCAACAATAGAGAATAATAAACAAATGCATCCAAACTACTATTAGATTTTCAAACAATCAAATGAAAAATTATATCAATCCGCGCAAGTTAACTAGTGATTATAAATTCAACTACTAGCTTTATGTTCTTCAGCCGTTTTCAAATTTGGTTTGATTTTAACAGTTTAAAATATGTTGTGTGTAAAGTTTAACATGCACACAATGTATTTATATTTATACTAATATATTTTGTCATCGTTTCCCTTAAAAATCAATGTGGCATTAATCAAACTTTACCTACCGCCCACCATTTTTTAAAATATAAAATTAAAAATAAATTATTAACTAAATAATGTTTCCTTTTTAACGTAGTTTAATTTTTGAATCGTTATATAATAACACCAAATTTTAATATTCTTTTTTAAATAACATCTTAAAATCAAATATTAGTCAACTAATCAAGTTAACAATTTCTATCAAATTTTTGTAAGTGAATTCCTATTTAATAGCTATGCTAGATATGTGACTATATAATACCGGCATTTATCATAATTCATGTAAATTTTTTTAATGAGTTTTAGTTGGTAATAATTAATTTAAACTACCGTCAATTATATTTTAATTACTACAAGAAAAACATCATTTTACAACGGTCAAAATGGTCGTTATTTCGTCGTAATAGGGCTATTACGACGAACTACCGACGATTACGAAATCGTCGTAAAGTCATCGTCGTAATAGACAAATCGTCGTAAAATCATTGTATCATATACGACAGTTTCGTTTCGTCGTAACATCGAGGGAAACAAATTCGTCGTAAATGCGTCGTACAGTTTACGACGATTTTACATCGAATTGCGTCGATTTGGTCTTCGCCTGGACCGTCGTTAAGTGGTCGTTAATGATCGACGTAAAATCGTCGTAAAATATACGACGCAAAAATCTTCGTAAATCAATCGTAAAGTATTTAATCATTTCGTCGTAAAATCGTCGTAAATCACGGACGTATAATCGTCGTATTTGTCGTCGTACATATTGGTCATAAATTCGTCGTAATATTTACGACGAATGTACGACGATTTTATAAAATAATAATAAAGATATTACGATGATTATACGACATTTAATATAATTAAAAATTAAAAAAAAATTCGAATTAAAATTTAAATTAAAACAAAAAATAATTTACAATTTAAAATTTATTAAAATTTCAAATTAAAATTAATTGTAATATTTACAAAAAAACCCTACAGCTCTAAATCTAAATCTATATCTATATCGTCGATCCCGTCACCGGCCTGCTCCCTATCGTCCTCGACGTGTTTCTTGCCGGGTCTTTGGTTAGATGCTTCCGCCGGCGCCTGATCTCCGGCTCTAGGAGGCTCAACCCCGAGAGATCGGAACATCTCCTCGTCCGTCTGCACCGGCGGTTGCGTCCTAGTAGATGACCCGGCAGACGATCCGACAACCCCATCAGCCCGCAGCTTGTCCAACTGCGCCATGAGCACCGGGTTGTCGGCTCCCATGATCTCGAAGAGACCGTAGAGCTGGTCGATCCTCGTCTCGTAACGGGTCCGCATCTGATTGATCTCCTGGCGGATAACCGGATCCGGGACCCGGACGTGACTAGTCGCCGTAGCTCTCGGGCTATCACGGATGGACCCCATCCCTAATACCCGCCCTTTTTTCTTTGGGGCAACCTAAAAATATTTAAAAACATTACGGTTAGAAATTCAATTTAAAACTAAAGTTACATTAATTAAATATAGTAATTAAATTTACCTCTTCGAAAATCTGGTCCATTTCCGCCACCGTCAGCGCCGGGTTGATTGGACCGAGCTACCTCTGGGAGACGTTGGACGCGCCTGCTGAGTCAGCTGCGTCTGCCGCTCCTCGATCGCCGCACAGGCGGCGTTGTAGATCTCCTCCGCCCGAGGATCCGTGAATTCGCCGTTCCGCTTCTTATGCGTCTCGGCGAAAACCTTTGTCATCGGAGGAAGTTCTCCTCCGTTTTCTTCGACCTACAAAATCAAAATGCGATGACAACTCTTCACAATTTAACAGGATATACGTATGTGCACTGTGATAATCTTTTTCATTGGACCACCAAACTTCTTTTAGTTTTCCACTAAAACGTCCGATCGGCGAGAATATGTCAGGTACGCCTTCAACGGCATATGTATGGCCAACTCCTCCATCATCATATCGACGAGTAGCTCTTTTTCGTGTTCGTACTTTCGGTGCAAAATAGTATGAAGTGAAGTGTGAAGTCTCTTGCGTCAAGCTTCCCGCCACAATTGAGCCTTCCACTTTAGCTAGGTTTTTGGCTTTACCTTTAAGATACTTCATGAAACGCTCGAACGGATACATCCACCTATACTGAACGGGTCCACCGAGCTCTGCTTCGTGTGGGAGATGAACAGGAAGATGTTCCATAACATCAAAAAAAGAACTCTTCTGTCAACGCCCCATCTGAATCTTTACGCATATACATCCAACTTCTTAGCTCGTATATAGATATCTTGAAAATAAACTCAAAATACTATATCTTTTTATTGATTAGACAATAAAGGAGCTGGTCTCTTGTGTCACGTCTAGCCACGTGAATGGAGTAAATTAACCTTTTAATATTATTACTTCTTTTTTTCAAAGTAAATAACTCCTAATTCGGGTTTCCAGCAATGGATAACCCAATATATAAGGATTTACAACACTATACTAAAATTTAGGAGACCTACAATGGGTCTCCAAGATGATGATGCTCTTATGTTTGAATGATGATGTGTTGTGATTGAAAGAAGGAATGAAGATCTATTTATAGGAAAATTTCGGGCTTTACAACGTTTTTACGACGACATTTTACGACGAATTTACATTGAAAAATAATATTACGACGAGTTTACGACGATTATGCGATAAAATCTTTCCCCTACAATTGTTAGGTAAACATGTTTTAAATGTTTTCCACCTAACTTCTTTTTCGACGTAAAATCGTCGTAATATGTACATCGAAATGCAGTCGTCGTATAATCGTCGTAATTTTACATCGAATTTACGACGATTTTACATTTACTAGCAAATCTCTCGTTATCGATGTATAATCGTCGTAATGCGTCGTAAATTGTACGTCGAGTTTACGACGATTTTTTTATACGACGGTGTTACGACGGTTTTAAAATTAGACGTAAGATCGTCGTAAAATCGTTGTAAGCTTGCGACGATTTGAAAACCGTCGTAATGAACTGTTGGAAAGCGATTGTTTTCTTGTAGTGAATTTAACACTTTTTAATCGATATTAAATACCTTATTCTTGTTGAGTTTCATCCTGGATTCCGGTATCATCGAATACCATACGTACATCTTCATCATAACATTGATCGACGAATATTTGAAAATTAGGATTATCAATCTCCACCATCGTCGTAACAAATTTTCCATGATGCATCCAAACATAATTAATTTCTTTAAACCACTTCAAATACAGATGCTTTGCAACAGTATCTGCATCACGACGTTTTTGGTTTTTACATTTCACACACGGACACAATAACTTTCTTCGCTCCTTAAAAGACGGTTTCTTACAAACGAAAGACAAAAATGTGTTTTATTCCCTCAACAAATTTATAAGACACCTGTTTTTTTTTTCATCTAAAAGTGTATACATCCACTTTCTAGAATAAAAAAATCAGACATTTTTTTCTTTCAGCTTTCTTATTTTTCTATCTGACGAAGTGCTAATATCGTGTCCACATATATATAATTGGTTTTGCCACAGATTACCACAACTCTTTTTGTAACATTTAAGAATGTATTCTCTGCCCTCTCAAATAATATGACATCACAACTTTTTCAGAGTACAAACAAAATAACCACAGATTATTAGTGGCAGTTCGTGGCAAATCCATAAAATATCTTACTTTGCTCATTCTTCGGTTGGACTTATTGACCAAAACTTGTAACAAATTATTAATACCATAATTTCATGGCAAATTTGACATAAATGCCTATGTTTTTATGTTTTGGCAAATTTGACAAAAAATTCTCTGATAATATGATGGTAAATATTTACAAAAATTTAAGGTGACAATTTGTAGTAAATTTTGTTAGTATGGAAAAAATTGACACCAATTTGACACAAAATACAACAATATTTAGAAAATAATGATCTGAGGCAAAATATAATAACCACGAAATGATTGTGGTAAAATTTTGGCAATAAACAACATTTCTTGAAATGTAACTCTGCTTGATATCAAACTTGGAACGTTTTATCCTCCGCCTTTATCACAGTGTGAAATTTATGCCACACAGAATACAGCTTTACGAAATTATTAATACAGGGAATTAGTGCTGGTTCAGAAGCCCGACAAAAAAAAATTCCCAATAAATAAAGTATAATATATCCTACTAATGCAGCTAAGCAGAAAGAAATTCAAACAAATTTTATTGAATAAAAGAAATTTGGATTACAAAAATAATAATAAAGGTTTTAAATAAAATAATAAATAAATAAACTAAATGAAATCAAAACTCAAAACTCAAAACTACAAAAATCCAAAACCCCATTCAAAACCCCTTACTACGTCTTCAACGCCCGCTTAGTTTTCTTCCGGCTCGTTTTGTGCTCCGCCACAAGCTTCTTAGTTAGAGCTCTCGATTAGTATTGGAAACCAACTCGTTGCATGCCGCCTGATAACTCTACAGGTGATAAAACTGCACTCCCATTTTCGCACTAAGCTCTTTTCCTCCGTACCATTCGTCCATCTGCACATTGTCGTAGAAAAAGAAAGCTTCATGTCCCCAGCCTCGGCCCTCCGGTCGGTCATAGTATTCACACAAATATCTAAGGCCCTCTTCTATTCTCTGTGCATGGCTCACGCCTGCTTGCCTTGAATCAATTCCCGCCCTTTGAAACTTCTTGCCTTGGGTACTATTGTCGGAAAACCCAGTTGAAAATTTTTTGTCTTAAGATATTTATTTCGGTCATGCCGTGTGTACTATAAAATTCTTTTGTCATTAGACTTTTCTTTTTATCAAGCCGTGGGTACCATTGCTGGAAAACCGATTGAAAGTCTTAGAAGATTTTTTCTAGTCAAGCCGTGGGTAAAGTGATATTCTTATGTCATTAGATTTTTTTTTCTATCAAACTGTGGGTACTATTGTCGGAAAACCCGGTCGAAAGTCTTTTGTATGAAGATATTTATTTCGGTCAAGCCATAGGTACTATAAAATTCTTTTATCATTAGATTTTTTTTTATCAAACCGTGGGTACTTTTGCTAGAAAACCGATCGAAAGTCTTAGAAGAATTTTTCTAGTCAAGCCGTGGGTACTACTTCCGGAAAACCCGGTCGCATGTCTTTTGTCAGAAGATTGTTTTTCTCAAGCCGTGGGTAAAGTGATATTCTTATGTTATTATATTTTTTTCGTTCAAACCGTGGGTACTATTGTCGGAAAAACCGATCGAAGGTCTTCTGTCTGAAGATATTTATTTTGGTTAAGCCGTGGGTACTATAAAATTCTTTTGTCATTAGATTTTTAATTTTTAATAAGCCGTGGGTACCATTGCTGGAAAACCGATCGAAAGTCTTACATGACTTTTTCTAGTCAAGCCGTGCGTACTATTTCCGGAAAACCCGGTCGAATGTCTTTTGTCAGAAGATTATTTTGGTCAAGCCATGGGTAAAGTGATATTCTTATGTCATTATATTTTTTCGATCAAACCGTGGATACTATTGTCGGAAAACCCGGGTGAAAGTCTTTTGTCTTAAGATATTTATTTCGGTCAAGCCGTGGTTACTATAAAATTCTTTTGTCATTAGACTTTTTTTTTATCAAGCCGTGGGTACCATTGCTGGAAAACCAATCAAAAGTCTAAGGAGACTTTTTCTAGTTAAGTCGTGAGTACTGCTCTCGGAAAATCCGGTCGAATGTCTTTTGTCAGAAGATTGTTTTGGTCAAACCGTGGGTAAAGTGATATTCTTATGTCATTAGATTTTTTTTTATCAAACATGAGTACTATTGTCAGAAAACCCGGTCGAAAGTCTTTTGTCTGAAGATATTTATTTTGGTCAAGCCGTGGGTACTATAAAAATCTTTTCTCATTAGACTTTTTTTTATCAAGTTGTGGGTACCAGTGTTGGAAAACCGATCGAAAGTCTTAGAAGACTTTTTCTAGTCAAGCCGTGGGTACTACTCCTAGAAAACCCGGTCGAATGTCTTTTGTCAGAAGATACCTCTGGTCAAGCCGTGGGTAAAGTGATATTCTTATGTCATTATATTTTTTTGATCAAACCGTGGGTACTATTGTCGGAAAACCCAGTCGAAAGTCTTTTGAATGAAGATATTTATTTCGGTCAAGCCGTGGGTACTATAAAATTCTTTTGTCATTAGACTTTTTTTTATTAAGCCGTGTGTACTTTTGCTGGAAAACAGATCGAAAGTCTTAGAAGAATTTTTCTAGTCAAGCCGTGGATACTACTTCTGGAAAACCCGGTCGAATGTCTTTTGTCAGAAGATTGTTTTTCTCAAGCCGTGGGTAAAGTGATATTCTTATGTTATTAGATTTATTTCGATCAAACCGTGGGTACTATTATTGGAAAAACCGATCAAAGGTCTTCTGTCCAAAGATATTTATTTTGGTTAAGCCATGGGTACAATAAAATTCTTTTATCATTAGACTTTTTATATTTACCAAGCCGTGGGTACCATTTCTGGAAAACCGATCAAAAGTCTTAGATGACTTTTTCTAGTTAAGCCGTGGGTACTACTTCCGGAAAACCCGGTCGAATGTCTTTTGTCAGAAGATTGTTTTGGCAAGTCGTGAGTAAAGTGATATTCTTATGTTATTTGATTTTTTTTCGATCAAACCGTAGGTACTATTGTTAGAAAAACCGATTGAAGGTCTTCTGTCTTAAGATATTTATTTTGGTTAAGCCGTGGGTACTATAAAATTCTTTTGTCATTAGACTTCTTATTTTTACCAAGTCGTGGGTACCATTGCTGGAAACCGATCGAAAGTCTTAGATGACTTTTTCTAGTCAAGCCGTGGGTACTACTCTCGGAAAACCCGGTCGAATGTCTTTTGTTAGAAGATTATTTTGGTCAAGCCGTGGGTAAAGTGATATTCTTATGTCATTATATTTTTTTGATCAAACCGTGGGTACTATTGTCGGAAAACTCGGTTGAAAGTCTTTTGTCTGAAGATATTTATTTCGTTCAAGCCGTGGGTACTTTAAAAATCTTTTCTCATTAGACTTTTTTTTCATCAAGTCGTGGGTACCATTGCTGGAAAACCGATCGAAAGTCTTAGAAGACTTTTTCTAGTCAAGCCGTGGGTATTACTCCCAGAAAACCCGGTCGAATGTCTATTGTCAGAAGATATCTCCGGTCAAACCATGGGTAAAGTAATATTCTTATGTCATTAGATTTTTTTTTTGATCAAACCGTGGGTAATATTGTCGGAAAATCAAGTCGAAAGTCTGTTGTATGAAGATATTTATTTCGATCAAGCCGTGGGTACTATAAAATTCTTTTGTCATTAGACTTTTTTTTTATCAAGCCATGGGTACTTTTGCTGGAAAACCAACCGAAAGTCTTAGAAGAATTTTTCTAATCAAGCAGTCGATACTACTTCCGGAAAACCCGGTCGAATGTCTTTTGTCAGAAAATTGTTTTTGTCAAGCCGTGGGTAAAGTGATATTCTTATGTCATTAGATTTTTTTGATCATACCGTAGGTACTATG